CGTCTGCGCTTTCCTAGGCTGATCCTGGTCTTGTCTTAACTGCCTTTGCGTAGAGAGGGTGCAGAGCTGACTTCTGCAGTCTCCATAGTCACCATTGTTTTGCCAGTTCTCTCCCACACTATTACTTAATTAGACTGCTGCGAATGCTTCCAGTTAGGTTTTGCTTTGCTTTAGGCAGAGGGAAGAACAAACTTACTAGTTGTTAACCCGGTGGGCAGCATCCCAGCCCCTTTCAGGCCTTCCTCGGTGGTGGTGAAGGGTGTGGAGGGATGCCTCCGTGTCAGTTTCTCTGTGCCTCTTCCCTGGGATGCTGCATATCCTGAGCACATTTTCCAAAGCAGAGAGAAATCCAACGTGATCTACTAAATATAAATTTTATTTATGGGGGCTCTAGGGCAGTGTATTTGACCTTGGAATTGTCCCAAAAAGACAACTGAATGATGATACAGGACATAGTTAACTACAATGAATGGAAAAGGGAGTTGGAGATAACAGAATCAAGGCAGAGCCCACCAGTGGGCTAATGATAATAGGATTGTGGGGTCTAAAAAGGGGCTGTTAGCTCCCTCGGCCTTTGGAAGGAGACAGAAGCTTGATAAAGTGGACACCTATCGTTTTGTGTCATCTGCCCAGCATACCCATGCTTTTCTCATAACAACACCCTGGGTTTTCTTTGTGAAATCACCCCAGCCCTTCTCAGTTTTCAGTTCACAGTTCCCCTGGGGTTGACTCCCTCCTCCGGTTCCAAGAGGGGCTGCGTGATCCAGGCCTAGCCAATCAGAACATTCTGTTCTCCTGGCCGTAGTGAATGGTTTGGGAGGGGCACAGGACCATGGGTCTCAATTTTGGGACTTTTTTCTTGGACTGTTGAGACACAGTACTTCAGTTGCACTTGGAGTTGCAGGAGCTTCAGTTGAAGTCAATTCTGAAACCATTTTTCAGAGCATACCAGAAAGGTGGAGCGAGATCTAGACTTGTTAATATAATTTGAACCCCTGGGTCAAGGTATGCTGGAATTACCCTAGGTACCTTGGCTCAGTGGTTAGAGTATCAGCCAGTGGACCGAATCGTCCTGGGTTCGATTCTGGTTAAGGGCATGTACCTCGGTTGCAGGCTCGATCCCTAGCCCTGGTTAGGGTGAGTGTGGGAGGCAACCAGTTGATGTGTCTTTCGAACATCTCTCTGTGTCTCTCTGTCTCTGTCTCTCTCCCACTCTCTCTGAAAAGCAATGGAAAAAATATCCTTGGGTGACGATTTAAAAAAAAAAAGTACCAGAACAGTATTGAGAAAGATCTTAGACTTTCCAATTACATAAGATAACAAAAAGCCAGTTTGAGATGGGGTTTTAAATCTTAAGTCTTCATTAATTGCTAAATATTTTCTGTGAAACTATAGTGTATCTCTAAACTTTCACCAGCAAATTTCCAATTTCTGTTCCCCTGTACTAGGATCCATGTTGAAACTTTTTTTGGTCTTCTTTGGTGGATATGATGGCTATAAATGTCTTTAATAAATGTTCTGGAGTATATATGGTTTTCATGAATTAAACTTAATGGGCACTTGAAGGGGACTAGTATTTATTAAAATGAAGTCAGTCAAATAAATTCCACATGGAGATATAAGCCAATTTGCTAAAGGTTAAATGGTTGAGTCTTTGTACTTTTATTTTCTTCTTCCATTTCATAATAAGATAGTGTTATGCATCAAAATAAATCTATATGCTGAGACCTGATTTCTCTGAAATGCGTATCTAATGCTGGGGACACTGAACACTTTAGCTGAGCCAGGCACACCTGTGCTCGTTGGCCTCACATGCTGTAACTCCAGCCCAGGCTATAGTTGTACTGCAGGCCAGAGTCTGAAGTTGCTTCTCCCATGTGAGACCTTCATCTCACAGCCCATGTGCTGTACTCACGAGGCCAGCTTGTACGTAAAGAAGTCCTAAAATGGTGGCTTATTAATCTCAGATATTTTCTAAACCATATTTTGCCACCACAAATGCTGATTATTGAAAATACCCTGAAGGTATTCTCACTCTCACTGATGCTGCTGAAAATCTGATGAGACCATCCTGGCAATTTGGGGTAATTTCATTACTACAAACAAATGTGGGGATGAAATGCCCTGGACCCAAGTAAACAGCACTGTGTTCAGTCACTTTTCTCTGTTATCACTATAGAAATAACTACCAAATCATTGACTGGCAGGCAAAGTGACCAGGAAACAAATCAGGTGCAGTCACTTTTGTGATCGCTTTGGTTAACTTTCCAAGTGTGTTCACACTGTGTCTTGGGAGGACAACAAGGATAAAAGAAACCTGAGTCAGCATGAAAAACCCCCAAGTGATTCCTTGATTTAACTAAATACTAAGCGCCTCCTGTGAGTCAGGCACTGTACCAAAGTCTGGGCTGTCCTGGAGCTCAGTCTACTGGGGGAGGCAGACATTGACCAGACATTCACAATGTTCACAGGACCTCTGCAGCAGTTACCACTTCAAATGAGATAGAGTTTGGGAAAGCTTTCAATAGACTGGGGCTCACTTGCTAATTAGGACACAATTAGATGACAGAAAAGGGGGAAGGGCACTCTGGGCAGTTGAGAGAAATAAAACAAGTGCAAAGGCACAGAGGTGTGAAAGCCATGACCAGTAAAGCTGCAGCGAGTGGTAGGGCAAAGCTAAAGGGAGAAGCTGGGTGGGTTGTGCTGAAGCACTTGAACCCTGTTCTGCAGGCCAAGTTGGGGAGTGGGGTGGGTGGCAGGCATGGCTGTTTTTAAGCAGGGGAGTGATATCAGATTTAGTATTGGAGTCTTGGGTTTAAGGAAGGAATCTAACTAGAGGATTATATGGAAGAAGAACCAGAAAGCAGAGACCGGAAGAAGGGGAGGCTGATTAAGAGTCCTCTGCGATAATCCAGGTTTTTTCGGGTGGGAGCACGTGGACCTCTCTGCAGGGCAGAGTGGAGCAGAGCAGGGCTGCCTCGCTCCAGGGCCAGCTCACTTGCTTTAACTGCTGTGCTGAACATGGAGCTGTCTCACAGCTGTGCTGCTCTCAGAAGGGTGCTGCATCACAACCGAGCTGTTTGCACTGAATAAAGTTTCCTTCTTCACCGCACCCCAAATTGGAGATTCCTGTTCACTTTGAATTGGCACCAATGACCATTGGTTGACACTGATGAATTTGCAGAAGCTGAAGCACATAGATTCCCTTCTCAGTGGAAAGCTGAAAGGGGCAGAGAACATGCTTGTCCTTCCACCTTTGATGACACCAATGTGCTGGGGGTTGGGTTGGGGGGTATGGAGGGTGCACCACCAAAGGGGCAAAGGGGCTGGGCAGAGACGTGTGTCCAGGCTGCTGTTGTCGGCTGGCTTTGACCCTGGGGGCACACCCCCAATCTGTGGAAGGGCCATGGGTGGTGTTTCAGAGGCCCCGACCCCAAGAAGTATCACCCCCAGGGGAACCCAGGGTCTCAGAGATGCAGAGCTGGAAATGGAGGCGGCTGAGGCCCCTGGTGAGCAGCCTCCACACTCCTCTGGGAAATACTGTTCTCCAAAATGGGCCTGGGTGTGGGTGAAACCATGCATGTGGGCGTCTCCCTTCCCACCCCACCCTGACTGGGATGCGGAGGGTCCCTGGCATCCCCACCCAGCCTCAGCCAGGGGGTGCTACATGCCCAGCCTTCCGGGCTTGCTGGTCACTTCCCAAAAGCATGCGGCCACGTGTATGCTTGCCTTCCCAAGAAGGGAACAAAGTGGTCAGGGTAGCGGGCGCAACACAAGGACCCTAGCAACCGCCACTCCATCCCAGCAGGAGTGCGAGAGGAAATGGCTGGGGAGGTCTTTCCTGCAGAGGTTTCAGGGCCCAGCCCGGGGTAAGGGGCTCCCCCCCTTGGCTCCCCCAAGTGCTCCAGGGAATTGAGAGTGAAGGGCAGGACTCCAGCATCCCCGAGTGCCAGGAGGCAGTGCTGAGTGCTAGGGTTTGGGGCCTGTGTCCCTGGCTGCGAAAGATTTCACAGATAAGGGATGAGAACGTTGATTTTACCTCCCCATGATGGGGAAAGGGCCAATGCACTGCTAATCAGCACAAGGGGAAGAAACAAGGGGCCAGCCTGCTCCTCTGCCTGCGAGGCCACAAGAAAGGAGGGGTCTGGGTCGTCTTGAAGCCGAGCGGCTGCAGGGAGGTTTCCTGGGAAGTTGCTTTGTTTGCTTTCCCGGGACAGTCCTGGAGGTTCCCAGGGAGGCGTCGCATCAGTGCGTCCGGAGCCTGCAAAGCATCCTCGGGGCAGAAGTTGGGAGGCGTTGAGAAGAGGCTGTTGGAAGGGCGGGGAGGGACCGTCCTCCTAACCTGAGGCTCCTTGGGGCGAGCGACCCCGCGTGGAAGCAGCGGGGAGGCGGGACCCGAGAATGCAGCCCTGAGAGCAGCTGACCTTGTCCGCAGTTTGAACGGAGGGACCGTTTGAATCAGGAGCCAGCAGCCCTGGGGCCTATGCCAAGCGCCGCTCGTGAGCCGGGGAGGCCACGGCACAGCAGCGCCCGTCCCGTCCCTCTCCGCAGCGGCGCTCCTCCAGGCCCGCGCTCCGGGGCGCAGTGGGGGCTCCCTGACCTCACCAGGAAGCGAGCCCCCCTAGCAAAGGGGCCTCTCTTTGGGGAGGGAGGCCCCCTCTCCCTTCTGGGGAGGGTCACCTCATGGCTAGGAAGGGAGGCCCCCTAGCCTTCCCGTGGAGGGAGCCCCACACGTTTTCCTGTGTGTGGGGGGTTCTCCTCGCTGGGGAGGGAGGCTCCCTTCACCGCTCCAAGAAGGGTGCCCTCTCTGGTGAGGGAGCCCCTTTCTGGGAAGAGAGCACCCGTCTCGGGAGGGTCTCCAGCCCCTCCGTTGGGGGGGAGTCACTGCTTAGGGAGAGGCTGGTTGGAGTCCCTCTGTAGGGATGGAGTCTGCCCCTCACAATCATGGCGCCGGGGAAGTCGTCCCCGCTTTGAGGGGCGCGCCTCTGCCCCTCACAATCATGGCGGCGGGCGCGGGAGGGGCGGGGCCTAGAAAGGAGAACCGGGCCTGCGGTCCCGGAAGGAGCGGTCATGTGACTGGAAAGATGGCGGTCTTTCCCTGGTAAGGGCTGTGCAGCAGTTGGGCTTTGGGGAGGGGTTGTCATTGGCTGTCTCTCGCCTGTCTCGTGTTTGTCTCTGTGAGTGCGTGCTGTGTGCGTGTGTGAATGAGTGCGTGCTGTGTGCGTGTGTGAATTGCTCCTCTGTTGGGTGCAGTCGCAGTCGCCCACCCCGCCTCCGGGTAGTCTTGACCCAGAGGAGCTCCTGCACCGGGCCGGCGGGGTCTTGGTTGTCTCCACGGCGACCTCGACCCCTCGCGAGAACTCAAGGTCCCGGCTTCCTCTTTCCCAGTGGGGTTGGCGCGGGTTCTAGGGCGCTGGATGCCCCGAACGGTGGACTCAGCTCTAAGGCCGGGCAGCTCGGGAGCCTGATTTGTTCTTGAGCTGCTCAGTTCCCCTAGAGGAGTCTCCGTTTCCTCATCTGTAAAAAGGCCGCCGTTCGTCCTGCTCGGGGCAGGGCCCTGCGCCGGCCCCTGGGATGCAGAGCTCTCAGACTACGCTTTGCCCGCAGGGAGCTGACAGTTTCATGGGAAAGACTCACAGAATAGAAGGCTATCCAAAGAAAATATGTGGATGCCCCACCTAGGGGATCAGGGAAGGTTTCAGAGGCAGAGTCTAAAACTGGGTTTTGCAGCATGTGTAGGAGTTCAAGCAGGAGGGAACGGCACCTGCGAAGGCTGCCAGGCCTCGCGGGGCTTCTGAGGCTGGAGTAACGGAGCCGCTCAGGCCCCGGGTGCTCCGAGAGCCGGGAGAGCGCGAGCCGGCTTGACGGTGATAGCGGGTTGTTTGGGGACTGAGCTCTCTCCCTAATGGCTCAAAAAGGGAACGAATTTTCTGATGTTTCTTTACATTGAATGAGTGAGCAAATGAAAGAATATACAATCCTAGACTTTAGAAATAATCAGTTACAGGCAGACCTTGGAGATTTTGTCAGTTGGGTTCCAGACCACTGGAGTGAAGTCAGTTGTAATCAAAATTTGCTAGCGGAGTGTCTTGCCTTCAGTTTGTTAAAAAAAAAAAAAAAAA